GCTGTCAAAAAGATATATAAAGTGAGCCATATATGATTTCCAATTTCCAGTAGCCATATTAGAAGAAGTAAAAAGGGACAGGTGAAATTAATTCTAATATTTTAAATCCAGTGTTTTCAAAATATTATTTCAGCATTCACTCAACATTAAAACTATTAATGAGATAGTTCACATTCTTTGTATGTTCTTCAAAATTCTGCAGAACCTTTCACATGTACTTTAAGTCCCTTGTATACCCTGTCTGATCCTAATCCCTCCTCCCACACAAAGGGAACCAGTATCCTGAATTTAGTACTTAGCATCACATACGTGTTTTAATACTCTTGCCAGATATGTACGTATGTTTCCATAAACAATATGTAATATTTTACGTGTGTTAAATGGGTATACTATAAGTAAGCTGTAATTAGTTTTGCTCAGATATGTTGATTTTTATAGCTGTACTTCATTCTTTTTGACTGCTATGTAGTACTTCCTTATATGAATTACATACCATTTGTTTTCATGTTGACAGGCATTTAGATAATTTCCAGTTTTTTACTCTTAGAAATTATGAACAGATTTCCTTTAAGAGTTTCTCTAGTATTGCATCCAGAACTGGAAATGCTAGGTTAAAGGCCACGTGCATCTTCAACTTTGTTGACATATTGCTGAATTGTTTTCTAAAGTGGTTGTACTAATCTACAGTTACACCAGTGTATTCTCACTCACGCTTTATATGGTGACATTCTTTTATTTTTGTCACTTATTGGGGTGTGAGATGATTCATATTTTAAATTCTGTTTATCTAGTTACTCTTGAGTTTCTTCTTCAGTGAAATACCTATTCCTTTCCTTTGTCCATTTCTCTATTGGATTGTTCTCTTTTTTTTCTTTTTTGTTTAATTGGTTTGTGGGAGTTCTTTAAGTATTCAGGCTACTGATCCTTTGTTGGTTATATGAGATGTAAATATCTTCTTCAGGTCTTTAGTTTGCCATTAAATTTTGTACATGGTGTCTTTAGTTAGAATTT